ACTTTTTGCAGTACAGCTCAACCCGGTTAAGAGTAGCTTTTTTGGAAAAGGGGCTGTATGAAACTGAATTCGAATGTGAGACCTGTTCATTTGATGGTGCGAAACTTCCACCACAAGTTTTTCATCACCTTAAACTAAATTGGGTGAATATGTCTCTCGTACATGATTTGGCGTCGGTCTCAGAACACACTTAGCGATGAAAAAATGGTGTGCATACAAAAAGAACATGGAAATGGATGATTCAGACGATCGTTTCCATGACAAAAATGTATTAGTTTTTCAGTTTGTACCTCTCGAAGTTTATGAACATCTGCTAAGATGCGATTCGGCAATCCGTCTTTCAGGCCAGCTTAGAACCGCAGGCAAGCAACTAATTCGATACATGCTTTGTCCAAATGGTGGCAAAGTGCCTCCTGCTGTGACCCTCTTCCCGTCTCCCCCAGCAGCCACCGAAAGGCATGCAAATCAAGGGAGTATGGTCGACCGGGTGGAGAGAAGGAGGCTCTGCGCTGTCGGCTGGGATAACTGGCTTTGTGAGGTCTGCACGATGATTGGCGATAATGAGTATTGAATGCCTCCATTTGGTCGGATGCGTTAACGAAGTCGACTCTTCTGAAGGCCGCTTTTCGACGGACAGGCTTTTCTTCGGATCGCGAATATTTCCAGCTCGGCTGTGCTTCAGAAAAAATTACTCACACAAACATGAGTAGTCAAAAAGGCACAACTCCACCTACGGACTTGAATGTAGTCGGAATTGCTATCTTAATCTGATCGGACAGAGATCATGAATCTTTCGATAAGAATGTGTTTAGAAATGATTAGCAATTCTTTAAAAGAACTATATATATATATATATATATATAAATATAAGTAATTATTCTCCTCGATATGACTAACTTCCGACAAAATCAATAATGTTTGGATAATGGTTGTTTGACCTTGTTTTCGCAACATGGTCATATTGGTAGGAAGACTTAGAGGAACGGAGACCATTGTCTGCATGATCATTTGCAAAGTTGAACCGTGCACGTGGTACATTCCCAAGCGTTTCGCCGGCATCGTCAGTGAGTATCGCCATCCTAAGCACCACACAGCTACTCGTCAAAGAGACAAGT